CTCGACTGTTGGCTCAAAGCCATGTAGGCCTTTCCCTTTTTCCCCCGTTTGAACGATTTACCGATTTACCGATTCCTCGATCCACCGATTCCCCCGATTCAGTGGCGTTCGCCGGTGTTCGATCTACCCGGTGTTAATGATTGAACCTGAATGAATGGTTTGTACATGAATTTTTCATTGTTTTTTATTCGAGTCTGCAGCTCAGGGGCTGCGGCTGGGACTCGCACCGAAAAAATACTTTGATTTAAAAATAAATTGTGTTTGAAAGTAAATTTTTATGACTCGCGGGGAGCTCTATCGAACTTATATTTTTTTTGTGGTCTGTTTTCGATTTCGGTTGCCTTTGGGGTTTTGTTTCTGCTTTGGTTTTTATCCAATTGCCAAAAAGATTTATTGTTAAAACGATTTCTTCTACTGTAAAGGTTTTTCATCTACATTTCATTTGGGTTTTCGTTTTCATTTTCATAGTTTTTCCTCATCGATAATTTGTATATAAATTCCTCGATCGCTCGATTAAAAGTTTCGGCAATTTTATTGCTCTATCAAGATAGAGAGAGAGGGAAGCCAAATAGGTGTGTAATTCCGTTTGTCTGCTTAATGACGAAATCATTTGATCCGCTTCCACATCATCCGCAAGAGAGGTCTGTCTGCTGTCTCCTTTGGTTGAGGTTTCCATGTGGATTGCCTGGCTGTGGTAATGACTTCATCCGAGACTCTGACAACAGATTTGTCTGCTGTTTTTTGTGATAAATTACACCTACTCTATGGCCTATAATAATATTTTTTCTTTTGGCTTTCGGTTTTTTCTGTTGTGTTTTTTTAGGGGGTGTTGCCTTTTCCTTGCCTTTGTTTTCATTTTGTTAATTATCCGCTTTAATTGTTAATTTAAATCACGAACATTTTATAATCATCGGAGAAGAGTGAACAACAAAAAGTGAAACTCAATTGAACTTGAGAGTAGAGATCCCCATTCCCCCTCTATCACTCTTTCTTTTCTCTTCAATTCTCTTATGGTTTTTCGGGGCGTGAATCGATCGAAAGAGTAGGAGAAAGGTTTTTTTTTTTGACGAGATTCGATTGTTTTTGATAGAGATATGAGCAGATTTAGGCGGATTTTGTGATTTGTTAGAAGTGTCGGCTGGCAGTAAGGATTGTAGCGGAGTGATTGAAATGCCAGTGGCTTTGTTTGTACTGTTTTTGATGGAGAGGTTGCCTCAAACGTGGATTGAGAGTTCCATTTTGGTAGCCATAGAAATGTGACATTGATTTTCTATGAATGGAGCTTACATTTTTAATTTAAATTTAATTTGTATACCCAAATATATTCCAACAATATGTTCCGATTGTTCTAGTTTCTAAAACAGTTTTCTATGAATAACTTTTTCCATGACTGTTCCAAGTGTCTTTTTTCTTTCCTTTCCATTCAATTTTCAATCAAATTGCAGCTCTTTTAATGCGATCGAAACTCCGTAGGAAAACGCCATTTAAATGCTCGTTAAATGATGGCAAAATATAAAATGGAAAGTTTATTTTAAGGTTCATTTAACGCGAAAGTTGAACTATAACTGAAACTAAGAAACTGAAGAAACAAAACGGCAGTCTCCTGCATTTCAAGTGGATTTTACACTCCAACTAATTCGGTAAATGTTTTATTGCCGCCCAGTGCGACCGACCGACCAGCAGCATTTAACAACTGAACTGAACCGGAGACCATATGGTCCAGTCTTTTGGCTAACTTATTGGGCGAAAGGTTATAGCCATGCAGCCACCAATTGTTATGCAAATCTGTTCGATGGTCGCGGGAGAGATTGCCTCTGCAAAGCATAAGCAAAAACACAATGGACACAACTCTCGGACTTGGACTTGGCTGCGGATAGAATCGGACAACGAGGAGGCAAAAATCGGACAACAAATCCTACAAACCCAATCGAATCCGCCGCCAAATCGAATCGAATCGCAAAGCAGGAAAATTATGACTGCCATAAAGTGGAGCATTTCCTCGACTGTCTCTCTCCGTCCGTTCGTCCGTTCGTCCGTCCGCTCACTCCCTCAATATTGCCAGACAAACGAAACACTAAATTGTCATTGCGATTATGGTCGTAACTGTCTATGGGCCTTGGTCTTGGTTTTTTGTGTGTTTCTTTGGGTCTAATCTTCCAGACAAAAGCCGAAAGCAAAAAGCGCCTAAATTGCGCCACCTTCACTTTTTCTTCCCTCGTTTTCCCTTCATTGTCCCCTTGATTTTCGTAGGCTTTTCCTACTGCTTTGTAGTTGTCTTGTCTTGACCATTTTTGGTCCATTTAGTTGGATGAAAACAAAGACATCCTTTCGTTCGCAGGCGCTGCGACATGCAACATGATTGTTTACGCCTCACTTGCAACAGCAGAACAGGCAGCTAGCCGCCACAGCCGAGTGCTTAACCCATTGTTGCACCAGCTGAGTGCTTAACTCAACTCAAAGTGCAGACATTGTGGCTATTGGGGTATGAAGAGCTCTAAAGTAGCAGAACTTCTTACACAACTTTCCTCGCAATCCATCGACTCATTCCCATTGCCTAAAGCTCTTCTTGGGCGTGTTTTTTGGGTGTACAATTAAAAAAGGAGATTGCAGCCAGCACCTTGGGGGATCTGGTGCATCTGTTGGCTTCTGGGAACTCCATCTCTAACATCTCGTTATGGTACGGCGACATTGTCCGGCAGCTGACAAATTTTGTTATTTCTTTCCACACAACTGAGATCATCTCAATCTTGCCGTGGACTGCTTGCTGCCTTTCCTTTTACTCTGGCTCTGGGGCTTGATTGCTTCGATCAGTTGGTTTTTTGTTGTTGTATTTCTTTTTGAAAATGGAACTCTAGTTTACGGCTTTGGACATTGAATGCGTGTCGTCTACGCCCCCGGGAGGAGCCCCAGCAGCAGCATTGAAAGCAGCGGTAGCAGCTACTACAAACAATTGACAGAGACAAACGCCAAACCACTTATTGGAAATATGTTTAACCATTTTGGGCAATTGACATTTTGTTCAGCAGCAGCTCCCTGAAAGCCCCCTCTCTAAGCCCCTTTTTGACTCCTTTTCCCCTCTATTTCTACTCTATTTTCCTTGTCTCTCCACTTTTTTTTCAATCGACAACGTGACAAAACAATTGTCGTAAATCAGGGGAAGGCAAGGCAGCAGGAGCAGGATCGCTTTTCGATTTGCAAACCAAGAGTTTACTTGTTTTTTTTTGGTTTACTTTCATTTGGCTCGTGGCTTCAGTGACTGCGTTTTTTTGATTGCAGCAAAATGTGTGGCTGGAATTCCATTGAACAAAGGCATGGCAAAGGAATTTTCAATTAGCCAAAAACAAAAGGAAAAACAATTGTTGTGTGAATGGGTCAAGGAAAAGTATGTTCAAGTGGGTGAAGGAATGGGGAAGGAGATTAGCATTAAAGTAATGTAAAATTCGTATCTAAAACAGAAAGTTCAACAGGAAGAAAGCAATAAAAGAGCGCTTAAAATAAAGCTTATCAAAACAGGAAGAAAGGGAAAGCACTTAGGGGGAGATTTCTCTCCTTTAAACTCAATATTTCCCATGATATATCCTCAACAATTCTTATGCAATGCGATTCGACCGCCGTCATGGTCAAAGAGCCTCAAATCAAAATCAAAACCGACACAAATCAAAGCCAAAGGCGGAGCACACGCACACAGACACACACTCTTCCATCTAAGATTTATCCCCCGCACAATTACATAATATGGGTAGCCGCAGAGCAACTCCAGAGTGTCTGCCTGTCTGTCTGGCATATAACCAATATTGTTCAGAGATAAAGATCCCCCTAAATCAAAGCCAATTCAAGGCCCATACTCGACTCCACCACTGTACACTCCCCCAATTTGGAAGGTGTTACAAACGTCCGAATGCCAATTATCATCCCAGCGCCAAAAGAGAGCTCTGCAGCTTTGTGGGGTTATCTCTTCTTCGACTTCCAATTTCCCAAGCAATTTTCACTTTCAATTCAATAAATTTTCGTAACGAAAATTCGTCGAAAACAAGGGAACTTTTGTGTTTTGTCTGAATTTTCAAAGGCAAATGGCTTCAATTGAGTAGCGGAAGAGAGTAGGAAATGAGAATGACTGACGGATTTGAGTAGCCCAAAAAAACAATATGTACAAAAAAAGAGTTACACAATCTATGCAACATTGTGGAGAGGGTAGATCTATGCCACAAAGGGGTGAAGGGAGAGTGAAACGATCGCAGAAGGGGATAGCTGTGGGTACAAACGCACGCACTAACGGAAGCAATTGAAGGGCAGGGGAAAAACCACAACAGAAAAACCCGCAAGTCATTGCGCTTGAAGAAAACCCATGAAAATGAAATGCGTAAAATTTTTGTGGGCTGGCTGTAACAAGACAATGTATTTTTCCATGTTTTGTTACACTTTTACCACCGACAAGCTTGGCGATTAGTATCTTTTCGCTTTCTTTTGACTTGTTTTCAAAATGTTAGAGGTCTCTGGAGTAGATGTATATTTTTGTGGGTATTTTTTTTTGAAAGTTTCAACCTTAACTCTCAAGGAAAACCACAGAAGAGCAATGATTTGTTGTGCGTTTTTCTCGAACTGTTTCACTCTGAATACCTCAAAAATTGTGAAATTCTGCTCGTGACTTTTAGAAATTGAGGATTTGAGTGCGGTTGAATTTCATTTTAATATTTTAACTGGTAAAATTTGATCTTTGTTCGATTTTAAATATGTAAACAACAATTTACTTTAATTTTACATGGAATTCTACATACATTCTACGTTATCTGACAACACCTAAGCAATGAAATAAATTCAAAAACCGATCTAAACCTTTCGATTTGATTGTGTTTCTTTTCTAAGGAATTTTGTCTTATTTTTTAACGAAATTCCGTAACTTTTGCCACTTAAATCCCAATTTTACATACATAGCTTCTACAGTTTACATTCCAGGCCCACGCCCAAAAGTATGCCACATAAGAAAATGCAGGCGGACTTACCGAGTGTACTGCCAAATGTCGCTGCAATTCCGCATTTCCAAACAATGTCAGCTCCGTGATGGTGGGGGAAATCTCCAACTTGTTTTCCATTTCGCGTAACCAGCGACGCAGCTCCTTGGGATCCTCGCAGAGAACACCATCCGGTCGCTGGGTTTCATCGAGCATCTAAAAATAATTCCCAGAATAATTTCCACAGCATACTTTGAGTCCATGTCACTTATTTACCTTCAAGCAACATTCGGTGGATTTCTCGAGCACAGTGCTGGCGCCCTCTATCTCACATCTTGCCTCCTTGCACGTATCCAATAGGTTCGTGTCCATAATATAATTGTAGTTTGTTTGTATGGCCGCCCAGAGGTCGTCTTTGCCGGATGAGCCCAGCCCCAAGGTGGCGCTGCTGTGCAGGCTGTTGGAACTGCTTTGACTGCTTTGTCCCCACGAATAGCGATGCATCTTGTTCCCGTACTTGCCACCACCACCACTGTGTGCGTTTTTCTGTGGAAAGAAGAGAGAAAAGAGAGTGGGGTAGAGTAGATACAAAAAGTTGTTAATAAATAAGTAATTTGAGGCCCCCAAATATGGTCTGAAGAAACATAATGCTCCCCGACCATCTTAAACCCGTTTTGGACAGCGCTCCAAATTGCAATGTGCGCGCAATTAATTAATCATTGATTTTCCCGCAGAAAATCGTGCAAGCAAGGAAATTCCTTATTTACACAATCGTCCCAGAAAGCAAAGCCAGCAGCGGGGTCGTAATTGAAATTGAAATCCGACATGGAATCAGTCATTCATTCAGTAAGATTCCGAATCGGCGCTCTGGCTTGTTTTCTGCTGATTTGAGTAATTGATTAAATGAATAAGCAGCCGCAGCAGCAGCAGCGCCAGGTGGGGTGCCTCCCTCCCCTCCTCTGCCGGTGTGCAGTCACTCGCATTTCATGCGAATTCCCAGCCCCCTAATCCGCTCAGTCCACACAATCTCCACACTGAGTGACTATGAAAAGATCAGAGACATATGGCAACGTGGGGTGGTCTTTGGGGCAGCCTTGAAATGGTTTTTACTGCGGTCTACAAGTCTATAAGTAAATCAAAGCACGGGCTGTGGGAACTGATATTTGGTGTGTGGAATGCCGACACTTCACAGATTTGCATAAACCTGCAGACTGGTGGGAGGTCTTAAGAGTTCTGGAATGACATTTGGAATGTGCAGCGGACAGAGACACCTAGGGGGAAGGTCCAGCCAACTAGAGCGCCTGTAGTTTGGAATGTTGCCATAAGGAACACAGCTGAGATGCTTCCTGTAGTCTTTTTGGAATGGGCATTCTCTTACTAATGAATCATGCTAAAATCCATTAACTAAAAGCTGCCTCTCTTCATCATATATTTATTTCCAGTTTTCAGCATAAATCAGCAATTTGCGTTGCATGTTTGTGGCGCCACTGGCACTGACTGTGGACTTTGTTGCACTTTGTAACGTAACCGTTACGAGGCTTTTGGTTCATGCTAATAATGAAATTTATTAATAATTTATTAAAGCAATTTCCGTTGACACACACACACACACACACACACACACACACACACACACACAGGGGACACACACGCTATTAAGGAGAAGAAGAACAAGAGCAGATTTTCATTCTAACGGTAGGCTGTGCGGCTGTCACTTGAAGCGAACAGAAACTCGTTAGCGTGAGGAACGGAGCGAAACGGAACGAGAGCTTACTCTTTAGAGTCAAGCGGCTGTCCACTGATCAATTGCAAATTTATGCAAGCAGCCGGCACCACAGCCTACACATCACACACATAAACTGTACCTGTGAGGCACACCTGATGCCGCCCCTTCCAGTACCCCATTCCCACTTTCATTCCCAGTTCCTTCGCTCACTCACCTTGAGGCTGTTGTAGGGCCGCTCCATATGGAGCTTCGCCTGAATGACATCACGTCGATGCTCCTGATGCTCCTCCTCGTTCGGTTGCAGTGACGACATAGACTGTGATTGTTTGCCACTGTTCTTCGAGTAGTTCAATGGCTGACCGGCAGTGGCGCCACCACCAGCGCCACCACTACCGTTAGTTGCAGTTCCATTTGATCCCTTTGATCCGCGACGCTGTTTCTTGAGGGAACTGCTGCGACTATTGCTCGCAGATTTCGTGGTTAAGAGTGTTGCCCCCCTGTTTGGGGGTGTGGCTGGCATTGCAAATATCATCCCTGCTGTTGCAATGCTGCTCTCAAATTTCATGGGTTTCGTTGTGGGTGAATCGAAGGGTCCTTCCGCTCCTTCCTTTATCATGGCCGCTTTTTCAGTCTCTTGGTTGCTTATTGATGCTCTTTCCTCCTCTGTGGGAGGCGGCATCACTGCTTCTGCTTCTGTCGATGCTGTTTCTATCCTTTGCTCTCCACCTGTGTTTTGCCTCGTTTCGTGTTGCATTTCCATTGTTGCGTTGCGGTCACTGTTTAAGCTCGTTTTTTGGTAGCGTTTCCAATGTGGTGTGCTGAGTGTGTGTTGGTGTGGCGATTATGTAAATTGGCTTAAACTTCGGCTTAAAATTCGTTCAACATTTGCATGTCTGCATGGCTTCCTCCTAATCCCATTGTTTCGTTTCGTTTGCCAGCGTTCCGCTCTCTGGCTATGACAATGACCTTGGGTGGTGGTGTTTCGGGAGGAGCAGGTACAGTTGCGTTTCGTTTCGTTCCTTTCGATTTCCTTTCCCGTTCGTTTTTATGCAAAATACTTGTTTCGTTATTTTGATAAAATGTTTTTGTATGTTAATGCCACTAAAATCGAAACAAGAGAAGAAGAAATTGCAAATTAGTGGAAAGGAAATAACAACAAAATTAGGGATATGGCCGCATGGATCTCTGGCCTTTTTTTTCTGATAATGATGATGGCCCCCCCAGTTGATGGTTATGATGCACCCTGCCGCGTGTGGTGCCACATGTGATTGTGGATGTGCTCTCTGCAACATAATTGTTGCTGCTGCTGCTGCCTCACCAGCAGTTATTCATTTACCATTTCTCCCTCTTCTACTAATGATTGGTATTATTTTGTGGAAAACCGATTACGACTTGTAGATGAAAGCGAATGGCAATGGGAATAATTTCCTATAGTCTTTTTCTTTGGGTGTAATCTTTGATTGATATTTTTTCAGCGGAAATCTATTTAACTCTCATTTAAAGAGAGTTTGTAAAGCTCGTTAAAGTTCTTTTGTTGGTTGGAAAATAATCAAGAGTGACACCTGTAGGGTGTTTCTTGAGACTAGTTAGAGATGTTGAAAAGTAAAACACTGAAAATGAAACACTTCAAAACATGCTCAACTTAGTTATTTTCCTCATATTTATAGTGGTTTCAACAGGATATTTTTAATATTTCTAACCCTTAAAAATGAAAATTGTGAATTAACAAACATTTCAGTCCTCTGCTTCGTTGTGCACACATCATATCACATTTCCATATCATTCCAACTCCCCCTCATTAATCAGATTTTGCAACACATTTTGCGGTTATGAAAGAACCCTCGGCATGTACATAAACCACTTTAGCATTAATTAGGTCTCAAAAGAACTTGAGTTCGCTGCAGTCGGTAAATATCTACAATCTCCATATCACACCCACAATAGAAACAGAAACAACACACATGAAAAGCAAACAGTAAACAACAAACGGTAACCGTAAACTGCAATTAAAAGCCAACTTCTATAATGGGTATAACTGCATAATAACATGGCTTCAAGCCAACCTAACCCCCTTTCCCACCTCTTGATGCTCGAATCATAATAATTACGAATGCAAATATTACTTAATTTTCGTGGCAACTTTTTGGTCAACGACTCCACTGCCGCTCTCTCGCTGGCGGAACAACAGTAGCAGCAGACGGCAGTGGGAGGTGGTGGTACGTACGTACGTAGTTTATAAACAATGAACACGATTCTAATCGCAGAGCAAAGCAATCAAATTTTCATACGAAATTAGTCGCAAAACAAAAAATAGCACTTGTGGTCCATATTCGTATGCAAATCAGTCGGAAGGGGGCAGGCAGCCACCACGACTCAAGTACACACAAAATGCACAGAAGGCGGTGGTGCCGGTACCTTGTCCAACTCCAAAATTGGCCAGCTAGCCGTTCATTTAGCCACTTAAGAGCCGCCACACAGATCCCACAGAGAGATCCAAGATCGGAAAGACAAAAGCAGCGGAAAAAATGGAAACATAAAAATTGCCAGCAAAAGTGGGTGGTGAATGGAGGGAGCGGGCGTGGCCGGCAACACAAATCAATGCTAAAAAGCTGTAAATAAAGTCAGATCGCTGTCAGGTCTTCGGACCCATAATAATCGCAAGAAATAAACAGCCAAAAAAGGAGTTCGACCCCATTGATTTTAAGAGATTGTAAAGTTCGATTTTGAGATTAAATATTTGCTTAATTGGTAGCAAAAACAACATACATTTTAAATACCTCAATAAAGTTCTTTTGTTCATTTAAATTCCCAACGTGTTTGGCAATCATTTCGAAGTTTAAGTCAAAGATCTATGGAGCAATGCCACCCATGGAAATCGAAAGTTTTGTTTATCCCAAAAGATAAAGTTTTGACGTCTCCCCAAATAGATTCTTTTGTCATATTTTCCCACCTTCTTTTGAGTTATAATCAGGCACGATGACTGAATGAATGAATGACTGTCTGCCTTTCTGTGGCTTTTGGCAGATTTACGAGCTTCTCCTCGTAATGTTCGTGTCTGGCATAGTAAAATGTGGTACCTGCAATCCCAAAGCCCACCCCAACCACAAATTCACATATTTGTTGACTTCATTTTTTGGTTTCATTTGTCTACGCAAAATATTTGTCTATTTTTAACCTCTGTCTCCGTCGTCTGCTTCTACTCTGTCTACTCTTTACATTTGCTTCCTCTTGTGTGTGCTTTTTGTGTTTCTTCTTCTTTGTCTTTTAATTGCCTTTGGTGGGCTTCTTCTGCTCTTTGGGGTCTGGTCTCTACGGTCCCCCGATCTCTGGTCTCTGAGGTCGCTGTGTGCGTAGGGTCTCTCTGTCTCTCTGGGCTCTGCTGTGTGCTCATTGTGTGGCTACTTTTATGTGCCACATGTGGAACATGCTTGGGCTTTGGTTTCGCTTGAAGCTCTTTTTTTCTATGGAACCTTTGGTGGCTAAAAGAGCTATTACCGAATGTTTACAGGTGTCTTATGTAAGAGCTTCAACAGGTGGCTGGAGGAAGACCCTAACCGAACACAAACCAAAGAAAAGATTGGAAAGAAAATTGTATTCAAACTGAGATTTTATCTGGGGACTAAAGTTGAAAGTGTTAAATAATTGGAGATTTGCATAATGGGCGAAAACAATATTTATTTCAGCTTTATGTTGTCGTGTCAGTGGGTTGTTTATTTAATCTTAAATGCAGAAATTTCTCAGCTTTGAAAGTAATTTTAGGGTTTTATTAGTTGTTGTGGGTTTTAGTTTTAATTCGTAGTTTTTTCAGTAATTAATTGTGATTTTGAATGCAGTTTTAATGGTAAATTAAATCTCATAGGGTTAACGTTTCTATAAATCTATTGATTGCCGTCTTTAGTTTGAGCAAAGAATTTGCTGAGCATATTAATTGCATAATTAAGTAATGAAGCCACAAAGGCATTAACCGTTTTATGTGCTGAGCATAAAGTCTTATATTTATTTATGACTCACACACTCCACAGAAGGAAGTAAAGGGCGAGAGCTAGAGAGAGAGAGAGAGTGAGAAGGAGCCACCATGGCTCCCCCTTTTATGCAAATTTTCAACACATTTCTTGCATGCAAAATCGCCGGCGTATCGTGGAGTGACTAAACCAAAGTTTGCCTCAAGAAGAGGTGCTGAAGTGGGGCTACGGCTCTCCATGGAACTCCAATTCATTTGGGAAATTGCACATTTCCAGTTTACATTTGTGTTTGCGATTTTTGTGGGCTACTTTTTCCTTGCCTTGGACTTTCCTTGATGGGGGAAAATTTCCGTAAGGAAATGAGTTGAAATTTCGTGATTATTTCGGAGTTTTCTCATAGAAGTTTTTCTGTTTTGAGATTGCTAGTTCCCGTCCAAAATAATTTCCATTTCACTTCTCTTACACTTTTACCTTCATTTACTTTAATGTTTACACTTTTATCTTCAATTACTTCCGTTCTCTACTTTATTTGCCCTTCTATTTTACATAAAAAACGAGAACAGAATCTCCGCCCAAAACGGATGTGAAACTCACTTTAATTTGGGTTTATTCTCACGCTGGAAAACTTCAATTTTAATCAAATCAAAAGCAAAGTGCACAAGCATCAATTGAGAGTCATTCATTGTGTTCCGTTGCTCCCATGAGTGTTTTATGTTCTGGTGTGCTTACAGTAGATTAGATAGCGCTGATAGAGCTATTCAGAGACACTCAAGTGCGACCAAAAGTTAATCAATTAAACTATAGTATTGAAAATGGCACTATCTTTGGCTCGAAAGCAGAGATAAGATTTTGACTTGCCCATAAATTTAGTCATCAATTCGCTTGGGAGCGAATGAGTAACGTAAAATGCGATAAAATCGCGTGCTGGAAACGGCAAGAGAACTCAAAGAAGTCTGTTCGTGGAGTGATTCTCTTCTTTATACTCTCATCTCTAGAGAGACTCTGGGGTCTCTGATCTCCCCTCTAATGCAATAAAGAACCAAACCATTAAAAAAGAGTTCGATTCAGACAGACAAACTGCAACGACTTGCAATTCACATTCCAAAGACCAAAAGCATAATTAAAATATTGTTTAAAGCCAGGCAAGTACCAGCAACTTGTGCTCGCTTCAGAATTCTTTCCAAGAATCGCCATTCGAGCCACAGTTTTGGCCATTGAAGCCAAGTTGTTAGGCCTGAACCATGGCACTCGGACGACGGAGAAGGAGACCCCCAAAGGCAGACAACATGCCGTAAATTGCCAATTGCCAAGATAGTTGCTGCAGCAGTGGCAACAACAACAGCTGCAACACCTAATGAATTGTTAACTGCTTCATGCTGCCACATGCTGCACAGCGACACAGCAGAGAGTGCGAGAGAGCGGGGCAAGGGGCAAGGAGACGGCGTTACTTTTGGCACACGTGAATGCTGACCGAATCGCCAAATGGCCAAATGGCAGGCCACAACAATCTGGCGACAATAACCATATTGACTTGTTACCAAAGAAAACAGAAAAAAAAAACACCAAAAAAACGGCAGCAGCAGAGCGAAACCTTTTTAGAGGTAGAGATCGATCGAAGGAAGGGGAGATCGAGACTGCAAGGAGACTTTACTTTGTTGCAAACCGCAACGTTTTGACCACAAAAACAATCACAATATGTGGTCCAAAGCCTAGTTAAATTGTGGCCAAAAGACATGAATGGGTGGAGGGGTTATCGGTCAGCGTAGCAAGAGAGAGAAATGGGAGCAGGGAGAGTTAGAGATCGGAGATTAATGTGTGGATATATGTGAGAGTTTTAATTCGAACTTAAGTGGATCTTTCATCAATTTTTTTTTACTTTTCATCCTTTAATGCTCTTCTCTCTTTTTCAGAAGATCCCTACCCAAACGTTTGCTTCCTCCTTCTCCCAAATTTGTATCCCGAATGTCAGACAGAAAATGAAAACATTTGGAATACCTTCGCCTTTGCCATGAACTCTGGCTTCGATCCTTGTTCCCTCCGACTTCTTTAACCACTTCTGCCCCTGCCCCACCGACTCCTCCACATATGTACATGCAACATGCCACAAAGGAAGGTGCAAGGAGCCGACTGCAGCAAAGCAACAGCAACAAGAGTGCGACAGATGGCGACATGGAACATGGACACGGACCCAGGCTCCGTCTGGCTTCCAAAAAACACAAAAGACAAAAGGCAACTCTTTTTGCCTTTGTAGATTTTTTTTTTTTTTGGGCGCAAAGCAATTAGAGAAGTGCTCCAAAACGTAGAAGAGAAAAAAAAACGAAAGTTATCGTGAAGTTTGTCGGAGTGGACAAATTTACGGAACATGCAAACATAGAGTGTCGCCACCTCCCAACGAGGCACCCACCACTCAGCTCCCCCCTCTCCTCATGCTGCAAAATTTGTCTACAGTTTATAAACATTTCTTGTTGTTGCTGTTGGTGAACCCCAACTCTATCTTTGCATTCCTGTGCATATGATAAATGTTTCGTGTTTCTGTCTGTATTTTTTGTTTTTTATTTTTGTTGTTTTTTGCAGTTTGAACACGTTTTCCACATGTTCTGCGATCAGTTTTGGGAGTGAAAAAAACTAGTCCCAATATTTGGCCACGCCTCTAGTTAGGGAGGGAAGTCGTTTGTTATGACCCACCTAATCGCAAAGCAGGCGGCGGCAGGCTGCAACACTGGCAGGTGACAGGTGGCAAGACTGTAAATAACCTCCCCCCGCCATCACACTGCACAGGCCACACCTTCCTGTTGCACATTCGCCCTCTCCACTCACCACCAACCGCCCACTTCTGCCTGGATACTTCTCTTAATTTAAGAGGCCAGCAAATTAGTGGTTTAAAGAAAAGAAAACATAATTTATGATATGGCTCCAAAATGAAACAAAAAACTTAATTAGCAAATGTAACACAAGAGGAGGAATGTAGGAATGTGAAACGTAATAATGGAAAACAAGTGTAAAATAATGTAAGACCCACGGGAGAAGGCTTAATAACTAGATAAAAAGTTCCTTAATCTATATAAATCATCTACCATTACGAATTTGGTATAAACTGTTAGATGCAAAACATTTCCATGTTTTCTTTTGGATTTTATTAAGTTTGTGACTCTCTATCGCAAGATGTTTCAAATTCCTGATACCTCCGATGCGATAAAATATTCGTTCCATTCATTAGTTTCCCTTATCCTATTCGTTTCCAGCATTGCTACTTCCTTTCATTATTTTTTTGTTATTCCAACTCATTCCTTTCCTTTCATTCCGTTTCTCTAATCCCCATTCCATTACCCGTCATTCCCATTTCGCTTACTTTTCCTTGACCCTAACCCTGACCTACTTCCACTGCTAAATACAGTTGCGCCGTGCTCAACATAGTTAACCCTCTGTCCAGTGGCGATTAGTTCTCCACTATTATTTTCCATTCAAGATCAAAGCTCCCCATTTATACATGGGCGATGCCACATTCCCCCATTGCCACCTAATGAACCCCATCATCAGCTCGTTAAGCCACTCAAAATCTATCATTCCTGCATGACAGCTACACAAAGCGAGAGAAGAATTACAACTGACGAGACAAGAGACTGCAACTCCTCTCCGAGAGAGTAATCTCTCTACTATATCTCAATGTAAAACTTTATTAACAGACAATTACTCACATAATCGAGTGTGAAATGTTCGCAAATTGTGCGAAAGTCGAAATTCATTGGGCAATCAATGAGTTTTCGTGGCGCCATTCGAATCGCTGCATTCAATTGCTGCAACGAGATGGAAAAAGAGAAGGAAAATGCGTGTTAAAACAAATAAGCAAAAGTGATGTGAAAATGTTTTGAATGGAGCGGAAATGGAGTTTGACAAATGAAAACAACAACAGCAACAACAACAGCAACAAAGAGTGCGCGGAGTTGACTGGAAAATGGGGGAAAATTGTTTACCAATGTTTGTGATATTAGCACTTGGCGGCCGCAATTGCATAATGCAGGAGATTCAGCTGGAGACGGAGGAGGAAAAAAAAGCAACAACGAAACCGCGAAAAACTGAGGCATAATAAACCATCAACTTTTACTCGGCTTTACTCTCGGCAACATTTGCTTAGCAACATTTTTTGTGGATACACTAAAAGAGGATTGCGGGTATGATGACTTTTAGCAGACAGAAAAAGCATTAAATATTTATTATTTTTATTATTATAAAAATGTCGTGTACCTATCCATTTTTTGGAAGTTGTTTAGTTTAGTTTAGAAGTTTTTAGAGGTCGTATGTTTTTGTAATTTTTGTGCACTTTTAGTTGATTTTCTGTTTCAAACGCATATTTTACAACAATTAAATGATAATTTCCAGTGCCATATAATATTTTATAGTGTCTTATATTTGCTATTATTTATTCATTTTTATGGATTTAATACAAAATTATCGCTGTACGTAGGGTATCAAAATATTCGCTTCCCCAAGTTCATGTCTTTATGGCAACCTTTCGCTGTGGCACTCTCCTTAGGCCTCAGCAGAGAGTGGAGCGTGGAGCCGCCAGAGATCTCTCAGGCCTGTCTCGAGTGATAAATCAGCTACACCAACTGAAAATCACCCAAAAAACTCCCACAAACCTCCTTCAAACGTTGCACGACATTTTTTCGTACACATTTTTCCCTCCTCTACGAAAAACTACTTCCCCCGAGGGCGTCTCTGCGGCATGGCAACAACACAACAACAATTCATTATCATTAATTATATTTGCACTCAAATTTGCGATGGCAAAACCCCACCCCCTCCCACCCATTATCCATTAACTTTGGAAAATCATGAAAAATTGAACAATGTCGATGAAAATTGAAAACAATTTCTGTGTAAAATTTCAATATTTCTCGTCATTTGCCGTTATGCTTTCGACATTCAACAAAGCCTCAGTCCCCGCTCCAAAGACCCCAAAAAACAATACCGCAAAAAAAACCCAAAATATCAAGACTGAAAGAGACAGAGAGCGGACAAAATATGGCTCATAAAACATTGAGAAAACCGAAAAAAATCAGCAACAAATCGCCAAACAACAATTTATTGGTCGCATTAACCCCAGCGAACTCTCTCACTTTTCTGGACCCATTCGGGGGGGAGTCTAACTGGGTGCTGGGGCGGTATGGGCAACAGCCGGCAGGGTCCAGGGTCTGTGGGTCTCTCTGTTGCAGTCAAACGATGCGCGCGAGTTGTGAAAATATCATTTACAGGCAATTTGTAAAAAAGCAACAAACAAAAAGCTAACTGCAAACTTGGCGAAAATTTGCACGAAAATCAAACGAAAAGAAAAACCGCGTTTTTCTTTTGGCAAACAACAAAACATGGTAGTTGGGAGAGAGGGGTGCCGGTAAGGGGGTGCACCTCTGTGGTCAAGTTGTTAAAGTCGGAAATGGGCACAAACGTCGATCGTCAGCGGTCGACAACAGCAGCAGCAGCAGCAGCAAACACAAGAAGAAAACAATGACGACCGACGACAACGTCTCCAGGCGATAATTGGATCCCTTTCCCAGTGGTACTCGCACTGATGTGGAAACGGGGAAAGGGTACAAGGAGTTGGGGGCGGTCTGACTTCTGTTAAGCCCCATGGGTACATACAATTCCATTTAAACATTTAAAAAGATTTTGACACATGTCAAAATGTGTTATGCGGGGTGGGAGAAAAACAGTAGAAACAAGTGGTAAAAACAAAGGAATCGTGTGGGTATATAAAACCCATCAAAAGCTAAAACGTGTTAAAATTACATCAAGTTTAGGGTTACCCAAAGCGCAGAGGTTTGCGTGGGTGTTCCAAATAAAAATTAGAGAGAAAATCAAAAAAGGTTAATAAAATCACTCGAACAAAGACTAGCATCCACTCTACCTTTTGACATCTAATTCTCCACCATTCCTCAGCAATTGTTAGCACCTACTGTACAGCCATTATCTCCTCCATCTCCTCTCGTGTCACTTCCATTATTAGATAAGTGCCTAACAAGTAATTCTAGAACCCTTCTTCAACCAAACAACAAACACTCAGCTTTCCACACATCTTCTATCTACTTATCCAGCGCCTCTCCTCCCAAGATCTTTTGTTTTTTTCTTTGTTTCTGTAACTTAATCTTTCCCCAACCAGAAGGCAGATGCGTAACCAGAAATTCTGTCAACCACAAATTTGTGGTTGCATAAACACAAACAAAAAGGTGAAAGATATCTATCCACTCGAAAGAACACACATAAGAGGAGGGAGACTCACAGTCGGCAGAATCTGTTGTCTGTCTCTTGAAATTCATTAATGAAACGAAACGAAAGTGAAAGAGGAAGCAAGACCTGCAGATTGAGAGAGAAATGCATTCGAAATGCAATAGAAAGTGAAATGCGTTGGCAAAAGTCTTGAAATCTTTTCCAGAAAAAATAAACAAACAAAAAACAAATCCCCAATACCAAATGAGAGTCTTCTCAGATGCTGGCTCTTAGATATGCAACTCAAAAGATACATTGTTTGGGGCAAGCAAACTCCCCATCCCTCTTCCACCTCCCCTCTCTCTCTCTCTCTCTCTTTCTGTATGTGACCTTGTTAGCAAATTCTGTTGACGTCCATTGACGACGACATGGGTGCCACCATCTCAAACGAGCCCACAAACCATCCTTGGCTTCGCCTCTTCTCTGCCAATGAAATATTTGAGATTCACTTTCAGAGTCAGTCACACAGCAGCAGCAACATTATAACGAAAGTCTCGTCGCAAAGCAGTAAAAACAATGCACAGACGCACACATGAGAGATACAAAGATACAATGATGCATTGACAACCCATAGATAAAATACTTTTTTAACTATGACGCGACTGCCAGTCCCCCCACAGACAGCAGCAACGGAGACGATGCGATGGCAGCTTCTCAATGGCTGAAAAACAATGACAAAAGTATCTGTGGCTACTGGAAAGTGGAAAGAAATGCGGTGGGAGGAAGGAGGAGGCGGAAAATCAAGAAAAATAAACTCAAAGACATCAAGAAAAGCTAACCGAGGGAAACAGAAGTTGGATATACACTACAATAGCCAATAGCTGTCAGAATCAGATTTAAAATAATCAAAATAAGCTATGGAGAACCCCCGCTAAATCTTCAACGTTTCTTTTCGGCTTTACAAACTTCCAAACGAAGTCCAGATGCCGCCACAGTAAGTGTATGCCATAAAATAAAATAAAAAAACTGTCGCCAAGCCGCTGAGGAGATGTGTGGGCTGCTGCTGCCTGCTGCTGGCATTCGGCATTCGGCATTCGAGGCAGGCACCAAAGACTCGACGACTTCGACTTCAACTCCGAATGAAATGCCACAGATTCGTTTTTGATAAAATGCCACAGCAACAAGTTGTAGAAATAGCGAAAGAAAAAGTGAGAATCCAATGAAGAGAGAGACACAGAGAAGTGCAGAGAAAAACCTACCTGTGAGACGATAAATCTTGCAGATCGTTGGACTGTCTCTCAGTGTCTTAGAGTGGGGGAAAATCCAATACAGAGACACACATCCAAATATATATCTGTGGTAATGTCTGTGTTGCTGGGATAATTGGGGCAAAACTTATGCTTTGGGCGCTGTGGTAATTGATATGTTTACAGCTTTATTTTTATTCGCAACTCAATTAAAATCACATCAAGCTGCGACGACACAAGCCATAAAGAGAGCGAGAGACAATCCAAACAATTAGAGCTGGGATTTGTATTGATTTTGTTTTGCTCGTACTCGTATCGATCCCCACTTTCGTTTTCATTTTCAATTGGTTTTTCAACGTGTGAAAGGTTCACAAGTGAATTGGTGATTGGATCCGATCTGCGAGTGGGCTTTATGGCCTGCCTCCCCACAGTTAATGATGCCCCAAAGTGAACTTCAAGCCAGAGATAACATCAACTCTAGCGATGGAAAACAGATGTGCCATCAAGTTAGCGGTGATCTGAAGTGATCTTTCACATTAAGATACAATCAATTGGGTCTACGAGCATCGGATTGACACACAACATTGACACTGAATGGCAGTTGTGTTTCCAACTGGAAGATAATCTTTTTGCAGTTTAACTAATGATCATTGCCACGAAAAAACCTGTAAATGATGGCAGTCTTTTGTGGCTAGAAGTTTAGTTCTAAATTTGATCTTCAAGTTCTTGAAATGTTTGATTTATTGTTGAACTTTATTGACACCAAATGATCGTTTATCTTTGCTTGATTGAAGCCTCAATTAGGTTATGATGCGCTTCGAGTGAACTTGAACCTTTGCAGATCATATTCTAAGCGATCTTTATTGCCATTTGATTGAATAAATCTTTGAGGGGATCATTGAGAGATCTATCTATAATTTGTGGGGCCAGTTGGGTTATTATGCCAAAGCTTTCCTCTCTGATCTGTATATTTATGGCACTTTTTTCTGCAATCTTTTAGCAAACTTTAGACCTCAAATTCGTCATCTCAACTAACTTGATATCCAGTTTTATTTCTTTTATGATTTTTAGGCTCAACATTTAGGTCGCTGCTGCGACTGTCGATTATGTAAACTCCTCTCTGCGTCCATCCATCCGTCCACAACTTGAAATGTGAGTTGTGGCTCTGGTTTTGACCGACTCTCGGACTCTGAAAGGTGGGATGGGTGGCACCCTAGATACTCGTACATATGTGCATGTGTATCTGCAGTTGTTGCTCTGATTGCTGGCCAGAAATGGGAGCTAGAGCTACAGATACATAGCGACACAGAGACACAAAGTAGTCGAGCAATTAAAAAGGCATCAAA